TATGCTGGATGAACGATTTTATACATGTTTTAAATGGTTTAAACTGTATATGTATTTTATATCTACAAATATGTTGGGTATAACATGGGTAGATGAATGATGAGAGATAAAAGATGACGTGAGTAAACATTGGCAGCTATAATCTTAGTGCCTATTGGACAATCGATGGTATATATGGACTTAGTACCTATTAGATAACATATGTAGCTATGGACTTAGTACTTGTTAGGTGTTGGTAGCTATGGACTTAGTACCTGGTAGCTATGGACTTAGTACCTGTTAGATAAACGTTGGTAGCTATGGACTTAGTACCTACACTGGTAGCTATGGATTTAGTACCCGATGAAGGAACTTTTGCAGCTATGGAATTAGTGCATTGGCAGCTATGGATTTAGTGCCGGCCTTATAACCCTGGAAGCAAGGGACTTCAGAATAAACGAATAGATGACTCTTAGGGTAGATCCTTGAGAGTAAGGAAGATAATGGGGATGGGTAAATGGGGTTGATTGTTTGTTGTTTAAACATAATAATTATATTATTGTGGGTTGAAAACCCTATGTACTCACCAGGTTTCCCAACCTGACCCACTCAAGCTTATTTGTATCACAGGTGTCGATACGAAGCTACTTTACACTGAGAGATTTAAAAGAGATGTAGATCACTAGTGTAAATAATGTAAGTTCTGTTTATGCTTATGTTTCTGTATTGACAATGACATCCCAATGTTTTGAAAATGAATAAAGATACATTTCCTCGGAAATGATTTGATAACGTATTTATCATGTTTTTCTGGGAACAAATTCCACAACACATTTCTTTAAAAGATACTTTGATTTTCAAAATAAAGCATAAACAAATCGGTCTTTTCTGGCCGTGAAAATGGGGATGTCACACCAATACACATGGAAAGACCCAACCTTAGGCTTCACAACAAATACCCAAATTACCCTTAGGGTCAACCAAGGTCAAAAGTCAATGGAAAGTCAACGGTCAACGAAAAGTCAACCCAACTAAGTACACCCAACTTACTCAGCCGTTACGCCCCGCGTACTCCACCCTTGACCAAAAGCGGGCAGATGACCTCCTACGCTCAACGTACGCCTTGGTACGCACAGCGTACACTGTGGCCATGCAAACCTACGTTAAGCTCTTAATACAATGAGTCCAAATGTCCAAATTCAGATCTAAGCCTAAAAAGGTGTCCCAAACCATAAAGTTTCCAACTTTGTGGTCATGCATGCCTTAATTAGTCCTCAAACCCAAAACCCTAGTTTGTCTTAACGACTTAAGACCTTTATATCAAGCATGCAACCACTAAATGGGCCAAGATAGCATTTTTACAACCTAAAGCACCTCAAGTCTTCTGAAAGGACACATCCTTTGGTCTTAGAGTAACTCAAAATCATCAAGACCAAGAAAAGGGACTTAAGCACATAAAACTTCCCATGGTAAGATCTTAAGGAAATACAATTAAGGTTAGAGCTTTATACCTTCTGGAGCTTCCCAAGGAGGCAAGGATCTCAGATCTACAAGCTTGCTTCCACACCAATGCTCCTCAATGGATCTTATTATTCCTTCTACACACCAAAAGCACACACTTAAGCTCAAAACACACACTTAAGGGCTAGGGTTTGCCAAAAACGTCTCAAGGAGAAGGGAGGCTGAAAATGTGAGGGAAATAAGGCTGTAAGGATGATTATATAGGGGCTTAGCCCTAAAATTTAGGGTTTTCCACACCTGGTGAGTACGCCCCGCGTACATTGATGTACGCGTACGCATGGCATACTCCCATTTCTCAAAAATTACAACTTTGCCACTAGGGCTTCCAATAGGCACTTCCTTCTACTTAGGGACCGAAATGAAATATAAAAATATTCCAAGGTTAATTTTAGAAGTACCTGAACACCGGGATGTTACAATTCTCCCCCACTTGATTTAGACTTCGTCCTCGAAGTATGCTGCGGCGAATAGCTCTGGATAATGTTCCCGCATATCGGACTCTGGCTCCCAGGTCCACTTGGAGCCCCTCCGGTGCTGCCACCGTACCTTTACCAAAGGTATTTCCTTGTTATGCAAAACCTTCATCTTCATTTCCAGGATAACCACTAGCTTCTCGACATAGTCCAGGCGCTCATCGACTTGAATATCATCCAAGGAAACCACTGCATCCTCATCCAATACTCACTTTCGCAGCTGCGAAACATGGAAAGTGTTGTGAATCTGACTGAGCTCCTCAGGAAGATCCAATATGTGAGCAACCTTGCCAACCCTGGCAACCGCCCGAAAGGCCCAATACATCGGGGGCCCAATTTCCCCCTCTTCCTGAAGCGTATCACATATTTCCAAGGTGAGACCTTCAGTAATACCATGTCGTCGACCTGAAACTCCAACTCGGATAAGTTGATATGCTGAATAAGCTCTGTGGTTTGAAGGACCACTTCGGTCCTCCCCATAACCCTGCGACCAACCTCGCCCCAACAAACCGGGGTACGACATCTCCTCCCATACAAGAGCTCGAAAGGCGGAGCACCAATACTGGAGTGATAACTATTGTTGTAGGAAAACTCCACAAGAGGCAAGTAGGAGTCCCAACTCCCACCAAAATCGATAACACAGGCTCGCAACATATCCTCAAGGGTCTGTATCATCCACTCACTCTGGCCGTCGGTATGCAGATGAACCGAACATCATGGTCTGAAACAATGTAGACCAGAACACTATGGCGAGCAACTTTATCGAGAACATACACATCGGCTAACTTCTCGGCCGAAGAGCTCTTCAGGATAACCAAGAAGTGAGCACTCTCGGTCAATCGATCCACGATGACCCAGATAGCATCAAAACCCTTTGCCATCTTCGGCAACTTGGTGATAAAATCCATCGAAATATGCTCCCATTTCCAGATGGGAACCTCCAGAGGCTGTAGCTTTCCATGCGGCCTCTGATGCTCAGCCTTAACCATCCTGCATGTCATGCATCTCTCAACATACAAGACTATATCTCTTTCACACACGACCACCAAATCTGAAAATGTTGATTAATATGGAGTTCTTCATGTTTTTAGGCTCTACTCTCCAATTAGATTCAATCTCAAAGCAACATCTTTTCCATAGACGCTTAAATAAGATTTTGAACGAGTTTTGTGGGTTTTCTAACCCTAGGGTTCATAAATACAAATTTCTATATGTTTTAGTGGTTTGGTTTTCATTATAACATCATTTCATCACCAACTTGTCCACTTAGTTATTTTATGGAGTTTTGATGGTGGAACTGGGCATTCCAAGCTTTTACCTCATGAGTTGGTTATGATGAGTCGTATTCTAGCATCTAGTTATAAAGATAAGTTCAAAAAACTATATGTAATGAGATAAGTGTTTATCCTTATGACAATTCTATTTTTTTTTTGTGTGAAATAACTGTAAAGTGATTAGTGATTCCAATGGAAATTCTCCATTGTAATGGAGTAAAATGTATTTAGATCAAGGCTTATAAGAAATGAATCTCTATAAATTCACAACTGGAATGAAAATCATGTATTAAGGATGGAATCACCAACTTCAAGCTTTAGGATGCTTGTGTTATTGAGTCACTAAATGTTTATTAATTGTTTGGAAGTTCATTAAGAACTTATTAGTTGGTTAGAATGGATAGGAACCAAGTTAGAAGTTATTAAGAGCTTTTGATCCATAATTGGTGTTTGATGCTTACATGAGCTTCTTTATAGCTCATGTGACATTGAATTAATGAATTTACTTAATTATTACGTCATGATGATTATAGAACTTAATTGAGATAAAATAATGTTATTTGAACTTATTTAAATCATTAGGAATCATATATGAAGTTTAAGTGCACTAAGACCAAAGTACATCACTTAAAATGGAAGTTTAAGTCATTTTTGGTATGTTTAGCATGACATATCTCGTGTCCATTCTCCTGTTAAAAATCCTTGAAAATTCATAAAATATACATAACTTTTGCATCCAGACTCGAAATCGCAAAAGGTTTTCACCTACGTGTTTTTATAAAATGAGGAAGGTTTTGAAACAATAACAATTAAGCTTTGGAATTAAGATAAGATTTTTTTTAAGCTAATAGGTTTTTATAAGGTTGTCAAGATTGGGTTCTTGATCATAGGATTGTCCTAGGATCCTACAAACCAAAAATGGTTTGGATCGTGATAAAAGTGGCATTATAGTGAGATCATATCTTTTTTTTTTGTACGACAACTTTAATTTACTCCTAAACTACTTCTAAAGTCACATATATCCCAAACGAGACTTGAATTCTCAACCTCAAGAAAAAATGACAACACTAGATATCCCTAGGCTAGAAGTCCTTTGGTATGAGATCATATCTATGATTGTACGATTGTAAGATAGTACAACGATCCGATCTATCCAATTTTTTAATTTAGTCTATAATGACTAAAAATGTAAGCTCTATTTATTTTCCCAGCACTGAAAATGATCTCACATATTAGTTCAATTATCCAATCGTATAGCCTTTTAAATTTGTCATTTCTTACTCCAAACCGAGCTTAAAATTTCTTCATTGAGTTCGAAACTAGACATCACATATCCCAAAAAGCCACACATTGAAACATAGTCTTACAACTTCGTGAATCTTTATTTTTTTATTCTCTTATTTTATAATTGTTGACAAATATAAGTTTTTTTTATGTATTATGTTTTGTTTTCGTTGCACCTTCTAATACTACTACATCATTTGCCATGTATAATTATATTAGACAGTTAGATTTAAAGTTTATATATCAATTTTTAAGTTTATTATTTATAAACTTTATATAACTTGTAATAAATAGATAGATATACATTTTCAATTTTAAACTTACAACAATTTCATTATTTCCATTTAATGAGATTTTTCTATCCCATATTGCAAAATAGAAAAAGCTCGTAGGTAAATCTTAAAAAATCTTGGATTTTTGTTTAATATAGAAAATAAAAAAGCTGGATGATTGTGGATTCTATTTTGGAGTAAAATTTAGCGAAACAATATTTAGGTTGATCACATTCATCCGATAACAAAAAGAGACCAAATGCTCGGTGTCTTTGTGACAAATGATGATTGAACTCTCATTTCTTTCTAAATCACACTAACGCGCTTATAGACACGCGTTGGTGCGGCGCGTATGACATTCGCCGTCGTCCAACGACCATGCCAGGCTCAGCGTCGACGACTCACCGCCCCGAGGGTTTAATTGAGCGGCTTCGCTCCGCCGCTGCAGACGGCGGAGAAGCCAAATTAAAGGTCCTCAGGGAACTTAAGAACCAGATAATTGGCAATCGCACGAAGAAGCTCTCGTACATCAAGCTAGGTGCCGTCCCCTCCGTCGTCTCGATTCTCTCATCCGCTTCCTCTTCAGTCGATTGCCTCCTCATCCAGTGTGCCGCAACCATCGGCAGTTTTGCGTGCGGGGTGGATGCCGGTGTTAAGGCCGTTCTAGATGCCGGAGCTTTTCCTCACCTTATAAATCTCCTTTCGCATTCGAACGAAAAGGTTATCTTTTACCCAATTCATATGAAACTGTTACGGACATGATTTCCTTTAACATTGATGTTTTGAATTTTCGTTACCATAAAAGATGGATAAAGGTTCCTTTACTTGGCATAACAGTGCCAACATTAGCAATTAACGTGCCTAATCGACTAGGGCTAGGTTAATAGGCATAAACTGCAGTTCTCTTTGTAACTCCTATTCGAAATTGCTACCTTTGGAACTTGTTAAATGAACTGAGAGTCTGAGACTTCAAAATCATAAAATTCTTCTGCACTTTTTAATCTGATCAGATTGCTTGGCTGTGGTTCATAGTGTCTAAATGCATATGTTGATTATAAATCCAGCAGGTTGATATAAGGCTAGTTTAGTGTATGAAGACATTATTATGATGTATGAACTGTTTGTGGCTAGACCTTTATATTGTATATTATCTAGCTTTTGTTACAATAAATTTAGAGCTAAACAAGTTTGTCACCTCTCAAAACTTTAAATTCATCTTGCAGGTTGTAGATGCAGGTGCTCGTGCCCTTAAAATGATATACCAATCAAAAGCTGCTCCTAAATACGACTTCTTCCAACACAAAAACATTGAATTCCTGATATCTTTACTAGACAAAAACAATGAAAATGTAACTGGACTTGGTGCAAGCATCATCACACATTCATGTGAAACAAACAATGAGCAGAAAATATTAGCAGATGCTGGAGTCTTAAAAAAACTCATCAACCTTCTTCAAGGCACCACATCCCAAAGAGACGCCAGCCTGGAATCATTTGCCACAATCATCAAACAAAACCCCGAAGTCATTACTAAATTTGTGGGACCCGAAAACAGCACAACATTTGGTAGTTTACTAGAGTTAACAAAAGATAGGTACCCAAGAACAAGATTGTTAGCATGCATATGCTTGACTTTAATCAAGAATGCCACCTCATCATCATCATCATCATCATCATCATCATCATATCTTCAATCAGTGGGAATCAGAACCAAATTGATTCTGGTTTTACTTGAACTTGTTGATGATTTTGGTCAAGTGGGAGATGAAGCTTTGTTTACATTATCTAGCTTCATAGAACATGAAGAGGATCTACAAAAATTAGCTTTTGAGGCGAATACAGTTGACAAACTTTGTCACCAAATGCAAAAAGAATCATTACAAGCCAAACGCCTTGAGGGAATATTTACTACTTTGGGTAATCTTTGCTCCAATCTTGAACCTTGCAGATCTATTGTTTTGCAATCACCCAAGGTTTGTGTATAAAGAATAGAATTTCTTACTTCATTTTTTTAACATTCTACTTATTTTCCTTTTTTTGATTCATTTCTACAGGCTTTGATCATCATAACTGATGCTTTGACTCATACTACAACAGATGTCCGTGTTGCTGCTTGCATCTGTTTGAAAAATGTTTCCCGCTCAGTTAAGGTTCGTGCTTTTGAACAACCATTATTATATAAAGTATAAACTATAAAGTTATAAACCCTATTTTTTTTTTTTGCTAAAACTATTTATTCAGTATTTGAGTGCAGGCCATTTTATGACAGAAGCAGTTATCATGCCAGTGATTCAGCTTCTATATGATGCTTCTACTTCTGTCCAAGTAAGGCCACCTCTCCCCTCCCCAAAGAAGAAAAAAAGAATCTAGAAACTTTGACCGAAACTTTGACTTTTCAGGTTGCTGCATTGTGCACTGTGAGTAACTTGGTGGTTGATTTTAGAACACACAAGTCACTTTTTATACAAAGTGGAGGTGTGAAACAGCTTGTGGAGCTATCAAAATCCATGGATTCAACTGTTAGGCTCAATGCTGTTTGGGCTTTAAGAAACTTGATGTTTCTTGTGGACTCCAGGTGTAAAGAAGAAATCTTTATGGACCTCAAATTATTCCCATTAACACGCCTCATCTCTGGTAATATGCAACAAATAGCAACCTACTTTCATTCTTTTCTTCATTAAAGCATCCTACTTTCCTTTATTCCTCTAATGAAATTAAACAGATAAATGAAAGTACGTTGCTATCTTTTGTGTATCAGATTCTAATGCATGTGTACAAGAGCAAGCTTTGGGGCTTGTTTGCAATCTTGTTAATGGACCTGTAGACTCTATTATGTATCTATTCACCGAAGGTCTTTTGCTAAACACTGTTGGGAGAGAATTAAGAAGAGCTTCAAAACCTCAAGTTTTGGTTCAGGTTAAATAAGTCTTATTATTCCTAAATCGGGCTCCCTTTTTTTGTATGCATAAAGGGTAAATTGGTCAAAATTTGGGGTTTTGTTTATTGTATGTAACAGGCAATGTATGTTATGTGTAATGTGGCATCTGGGAAAGAGTTTGAGAAGGAAGCAGTGATGCAGCAACTTGTGAATGAAGATGATAATAATCAGTCAATAATTGTGACTTTATTGCAAAGTGACGTGGCAAGTTTGAGAACAGCTGTAGTATGGACTGTAGTAAATCTTTCTATTCCAACTGGGGCAGGTGCATTAACAAGAGTTGTCAAATTAAGAAATGCTGGTGTTGTTTCACAGTTAAAGAACATGGTTAATGATCCATGCTTGGATGTCAAGGTAAAAAAAAAATTAACTATTTTTTTTTTCTTTTTTTGTAAAAAATGTATAAGTTTATTGGTTGCTATTTTGATTTGCAGCTTCGTGTAAGAACAGCACTTGGGCAATCAATGACTTTTGGGGATTTTTCTACGTGAAGTGAAGTGAATGTTGATGTTTTGAGTTTTACTCGAGTATTGGCGGGAAATTGTTTTTGTAATTTGTATGTTGATTTGTGGTTGATATTGTTGTAATTTGTAATAATTGAAATGTGGGTTGTTTTTAGCTTCTTATTTTTGTTAAATATAATTATTTATAAACTAACTATACATTCTTGTAGTAATCTTCTTTAGATATTTAATTATAAATGTTTAAAGTTTTTTTTTTGAAAGAGTAAATGTTTAAAGTTGTATAAACTAAAAAGATTATTTACAGTTTCATATCGAATATATAAAAGATTTTCTTCTCAATGATCAAGGGATTCAACTTTCAACCAGCACTAGAAGCGTTTCTTATGGGTTTTGAAAAGCACTCAATGATCTTATCTTCATACATATCTGCTGCTTTTATACCAGTCAAAGAACTTCATCTTTTTTTCTACAAATGGTTATCTTTCTTTCTCCCAGTTATTACTTCCGTTGGACTCTTACTTTAACCATTTCTAGCTTCAGACAACTCAACTAAAACCCTCTTTTTGCTCATGTCTTCATCTCACAAAACCTGCAACAACCCTCCTCAACAGGGAACAGCTGCAAAGTGAAGAAGAAGATGGATGATAAGTGTACCACCCCTAAAGCAAACAAGTACAGAATACCAGAGAGTCTAACGTGTCCCAAGGCTCCAAAGAAACAAAGGATTGTTTCAGAGTTATACAACACCCACATCTTTCTTTAATCCTCCAGATATAGACCTCTTCTTTGCTTCTACCATTTATACGCATGTATGATCATCAATAATCCCTTGATCTTTCTTTGTATGTTATGGCCATAATTATTGGCAAGATGACGTCTTTTTCACGTCTATTTGCTGTGTAGTAGTGTGTGAAATTTAGTGTATTGTGTGTGGTTTTGCTTATATTTATGCATTTATTTAGGGTATGAATGTATGATGTAATGGTTGGAATTGATTCTCTCTATCTATATGTCTTGATATAATGGCTGGATTTGAGACTTTGTTCATGAATCAAAATCAACCATGAATAACAAACAACTACTCACGTACATGATTTTGAAACATCTTCATTTGTAAATCATTATATAACTATCTACACGTATTATAATGCACAACTAGCTAGGGATGTTATTCGGGCCGGAACCGGACCGAACCAAACCAGACCCGAATAAACCGAAAACCGAATAAGACTAATTGGAGGAACCAAAAACGAGACTGATTAAACCAATACGGGTCCGGTTCGGTTCGTGTATTAATCGTCTAGTTTGGTTATTATTCGAATAAATCGAATAACATTTTACAATATGATTAAGATCTGAACAGAACCGAATAAACCGTATTGTTTGGTACTTTTTTTAAACTTAGGGGGATTGTTTTTGTAATTACTTAAGGTATTAGAATAAAGTAAATGTTAGGTTAAAAAAACAACTTTAATACCTTGTTTAGGAGTCTATATCTCATTAAATATACAATCAAAAAGTACATGTAAACAGTAGTTTAATTTGTGAGCTACAAGCTAGAAAAAAATCAAGCAAATCGGACGAATAACGAAGACGCCATGACAGTTTAAAATTGCCATAAAATTTTTTGTAAACATGCTGAAATAGAAAACTCAGCTTCAATACCCCTTGTTTAGGGGCATGTATCGTATTGAGTATATAACAAAAAATAGCATATAAATTGTGTAAACAGTGTGTTAAATTGTGAACTACAAGCTGAAAAATAAATCAGACAAATCGGGCAAATAACGAAGGCGCTATGATAGTTCAAAGTTGCCTTAAAATTATGCAAACATGTTAAAATGTAAAAAAAAAAAAGGATAGCTTATTCGGATCCGGTTCCTTTAGAACCGATTAAGCAGTTATTCAGGTAACCCAGACAGAAATACCCGATAACCGAATAAGCCTAATATACATACCTGAGAACCAAACCGGATAGCTTATTATGTCCTAATTCAGTTCGGTTTGGTTCAAGTTTATGTTCCGGTTCGGGTATTCGTTCAAATGCTCATCCCTAAACCGAAAACCGAATAAGACTAATTGGAGGAACTGAAAACCGGACTCATTAAACCAATACGAGTCCGATTCGTTTCGTGTATTAATCGTCTGGTTCGGTTATTATTCGAATAAACCGAATAACATTTACATTATGATTAAGAACCGAATAAACCGTATTGTTTGGTACTTTTTTTTTTAAACTTAGGGGGGTTGTTTTTGTAATTACTTAAGGTATTAGAATAAAGTAAATGTTATGTTAAAAAAAACAACTTTAATACCCATTGTTTAGGAGCCTATATCTCATTAAATATACAACCAAAAAGTACATGTAAACAATAGTTTAATTTGTGAGCTACAATCTAGAGAAAAAAAAAATCAAGCAAATCGGACGAATAACGAAGACGTCATGACAGTTCAAAATTGCCATAAAATTTTGTAAACATGCTGAAATAGAAAACTCGGCTTCAATATCCCCTGTTTAGGGGCATGTATCTTGTTGAGTATATAACCAAAAATAGTATATAAATTGTGTAAACAGTATGTTAAATTGTGAACTACAAGCTAGAAATAAATCAGGCAAATTGGGCAAATAACGAAAGCGCTATAACAATTCAAAGTTGCCTTAAAATTATGCAAACATGTTGAAATGTAAAAAAAAATGGATAGCTTATTCGGGCCCGGTTCCTTTGGAACCGATTAAACAGTTATTCAGGTAACCTGGACGGAAATACCCGATAACCGAATAAACCTAAAATACATACCTGAGAACCAAATCGGATAGCTTATTACGTCCTAATTCAGTTCGGTATGGTTCAAGTTTATGTTCCGGTTCGGGTATTCATTCAAATGCTATTCCCTAAACCGAAAACCGAATAAGACTAATTGGAGGAACCGAAAACCGGACCGATTAAAACCAAAAACATATCTAGGGGACGAATGCTTATAAAATATTATATACTTACCTTATATTTCAACAAGGGTTAATGACCTAGAAAGGTAACGAACTTTGGTCTTTGTCCACATTTAGCTAACCATGTTTTTTTCGTTCACATTTGATCATTAAACTTGTTTGACGTGTTATACTTACCTTATATTTCAACAAGGGTTAATGACCTAAAAAGGTAACGAACTTTGGTCTTTGTCCACATTTAGGTAACCATGTTTTTTTCGTTCACATTTGACCATTAAACTTGTTCGACGTGTTCTAAATAGGGTAATATGACTGGTATTTACGGTAATATTACCCTATTATGAACAGGGAAAACAAGTTTATTGGTCAAATGTATACGAAAAAAACATTATTACCTAAATATGGACAAAACCCAAAGTTTCTTACCCGTTTTCGTAATATTGGACAAGAACCGTCTCAGGGACTGTGCCCTGGGATCAGGATCTGACAACGAACACTTAGGTTAGGCTTGGTCTAACCTACTTCAGTCCCGGCTAGTCATGGGCTAGGCTGTGTTGCTAGGTATTTAAAGCACATACAACCTAGCCCCTTAAGCGTATACAACCTAACCCCTAACTAGTTGAGCCTAAACTGGATTGGCCCAAGACCTGACCATTTCCTCATACACAAAGACCATACAACCCAATTTCATGTCACATCAATGGGTCTTATGACTACTTGCACTTAACATAAAGAACCCAATATTACCAAAATGGGTAAGGAACTTTGGTTTTTGTCCATATTTAGGTAACCATGTTTTTTCGTACACATTTGACCAGTAAACTTGTTTGACCTGTTCATAATAGGGTAATGTTACCGCTAATTACCAGTCATATCACCTTATTTTGAACATGTCAAACAAGTTCAATGGTCAAATGTGTACGAAAAAAACATGGTTACCTTAATGTGAACAAAGACCAAAATTCCTTACCTTTTTAGTTCATTAACCCTTTCAACAAAGAATAATCGTTTTCAATTTACAAGCTTTAATCACCAAAAAGTACCTAAGTTTGCATACAATAGTTTTGGATACCGGTACAATGCTTAAAATATATATATATATATATATATATATATATATATATATATATATATATATAAAAGCTAAAAGCATTTAATCTACACCTTACATTCAATGACCATGTAATCGTTCATTGTGTCTTATTTAATAATTTACATTCAATGGGAAGATATATATTTCCCTAAAGATATGAAATGAAGTATTTAAATAATAAGTTATAACTTAACATTCATGTGTTTTATTTATTTAACTATGTGTCATTTAAAATTTAATAATATCATTTTATATATTATGGTCAACAATTTTATAAGTCACTTTAATTTATATAAAAACTTTATACAATTTTATTATTTATATAGTTTTCAGTATTTGTTGTATTTAAATTTATATTGCATTCTTTAAAATTATAATTTTGTAGCATGTCTAAAATACAAAAGGCCAATTAGATATTTAAACTACTAATTTCAACCAATAATTATGTCATTATCATATTACTAACAAAACATATACATTTATTAATTAGTAAATATTTTATTATCAATTCGAAATAATTAAGTTATAATTTAATTAAAATTATTTTTTAAATTTTCATCCGTGTGCCCACGGGTTATAACCGTGTGTGTGTGTGTGTATATATATATATATATATATATATATATATAGGGGTGAGATCGGTTGACAACTCATAGTTCCCCGAGAACCCGAGAACTAAAGGTGAAGCGTTAGATCAAAATTAACTCATTAAGGGCATGATCGTCATCTTACCGATCTAATTTAATGTTTAATTTTTTTTGTTATTGGAATATTAAAAAAATGTTCTAAAAATTAACATAATAAATCAAATTTCAGATTTTTTTGAAAATAATTTTCAATTTTTTAAAAAAAAATGAAGATTTTTTACTTTTTTCAGAAAATATGAATTTTTTAAAAAAATTGAAAAAAATATTTTTTAAAAAAACTGCAATTCTTTTAAAAAAACAACATTTTTTTTAAAAAACTGCATTTTATTCCAAAAAAATCTGCAATTTTTTTTAAAAAAAAAACTGCAACTTTTTTAAAAAATACTGCATTTTTTTTTTGAAAAAACTGCAACTTTTTTCAAAAAAAAATTGCATTTTTTTAAAAAGTAAATATTTAAAAATCAATAAATTAAAAAAAAAACTCTAACTTTTTTAACCAAAAAAATCAACATTTTAGG